GAACTTGAATATTCTCAAACTATTCCAAAAAATTTACCAGGAAGGAACACTTTCAAACTCTTTCTATAATGCCCTCTTTCACCACTCTTGTTCAACATAGTTCTGGAAGTCCTGGCCATAGCAATTAGACAAGAAGAAGTAATAAAAAGCATCCACATTGGAAAGGAAGAAGTAAACTTTCATTATTCTTAGATGACATAGAAAATCCTAAGATTCTATTAAAAAAAAAACCAAAAAAAAAAAAAAAACCTAGTAGTCTTAATAAATGAATTCGTAAATGTAGCAGGATACAAAATTTACATCCAAAAATCCATAGCTTTTTTATACACCAATAGTGTACTCGCAGAAAGAGAAACACTTTTAAAAAACAATCCCATTTTCCAATGCAACAAAAAAATTAAGATACCTAGGAATAAACTTAACCACGGTGGTAAAAGACCTGTACTCTGAAAATTACATGATGTTGAAAAAAAGAGATAGAGGAAGATATAAACAAGGGGAAGAATGTGCCATGTTCATGGATTGATAGAATCAACATTGTTAAAATGTCCATATTACCCAAAGCAATCTACAGATTCAATGCAATCCCTATTAAAATACCAATGGCATAGTTCACAGACCTAAAACAAACACTCCAAAAATATACATTGAATTTTTAAAAAGACCCCCAATAGCTGCAGCAATCTTGAGAAAGAAAAACAAAGTTGAAGGAATCACAATACCAGATACCAAGTTATATTACAAAGCCACTGTGCTCAAAACAACCTGGTATTAGCACAAGAATATGCATATAGATCAATGGAACAGAACAGAGAATCTTGACATCAACTCAAGTCACTATACTCAATTAATATTTGACAAAGAGCAAATATTGGGGGCAAGAGCATACATAGGAGCAGAGACAGTCTCCTCAATGGTGCTGGGGAAATTGGACAGGTATACAAAACAATGAAACTAGACCACCAATTTATACCATTCACAAGAATAAACTTAAATTGGATAAAAGACTTACCATAAGATATGAAATCATAAAAGTCCTAGAAGAAAATTCTCAGACATCTCTCATCATATCAACAAGTTTACTGATACTTCTAGGGCAATGGAAACTAAGGCGAATATAAACAAATGAGACTGCATTAAAATAAAAAGCCTCTGCACTGAAAAAAAAAAAAAACACACAAAACAAAACAAATAACAACACATCAACAAAATGACAAGAGAGCCCACTACATGGGAGAACATATTTGCCAATGATTGATCCAATAAGGGGTTAATCTCCAAAAAAAAAAATTAGGGAACTCATACAATTTAGCAAAAGGAAGACAAGCAATCCAATTTTTAAAAAATGAGCAAAAGACCTAAATTGATACTTATCCAAAGTGAACATACAGAAGCCAAGAGACATATGAAAAAATGCTCAAATTCACTAATCATCTGAAAGATGCAGATCAAAATGATAATGAGATATTACCTCACACCTGTCAGAATGGCTTTCATTAACAAATCAATAAATGACACGTGTTGGCGAGGTCGTGGAGAAAAGGGAACCCTAGTACACTGCTGGTGGGAATGCAGACTGATGCATCTAGTTTAGAAAAAAAGTATGGAGTTTCCTCAAAATATTAAAAATGGAACTGCCATTTGATCCAGTGATCTCATTTCTAGGAATATATCCTAAGAAACCTGAAACACTCATCAGAAAGAATGTATGCCCTATATTCATAGTGCAATTTACAGTAGCTAAGACTTGGAAACAGCTTAAGTGCCAGCAGCAGATGAGTGGATAAAAAACGATGGTAACATTTATACAATCATTTATACAATCGTGGAATACTACACGACAATAAAAAAGAAAGAGCTCTTACCATTTACAATGGCATGGATTGCCATGAAGAGTATTATGCTGAGCGAAATAAGCCAGTCAGAGAGAAAAATATATGATCGCATTCATATGTGGAATCTATTGAACCAAATAAACTGATGATCAGAAATAGACCCAGAGACGTGGAAATATGAACAGACTGTTGAACCTCAGAGGGAGGGCAGGGAGGGTGGGTGGGAAGAGATCAACCAATGAACTTGTGTGCATATATGCATAACCTGTGGACACAGACAGCGGGGTGGTGAGAGCCTGGGAGAAGGGGGATGAGAGCAGACTGGAAGAGGTTAATGGGGGCAAAAGGAGGACTCAGGTAGTACTTTCAACAATAAAGATTTTAAAAATAAAATACAAAAAAGAAAAACATCTTTTCTTTTTCCTTTTTAAACTTTCTAAAGTTGGCATGCTAGAAGAGCTTAGTCCCTTAGTTGTAAATGAATATTTCAGTAGCTTTGTTGGTGATTTTTTAAATAAGTTTCCTTCACATTTTCTAGGTTATTCTTCAGTTTATAAGCAGCTCTTCTCCCCTGCTGGTTCCCATCACCCTTCCTCCCTCTGGGTTCTTGCTCTACTTATTCTCCTTTTCTTGCTTCTTCATTCTTTTTCTCCACTATGTCTTTTTCATTGAAGAGCAAAAATGCTCAAACTTTATTTTGTTTATTTTATAAAAACAACTCTCCTACCCCCTACCACCACTAACAACAAATTTCTGCTCTTCTCTGTTTGTTCAAAATAGGAGCATTATCTTCTCAGTCATTTGAATCCAACCAAGCTCCATCACATATTAGCTATGACCTGAGGGACATTTCTTAACTTTCCTATCTTGCCTTCTTTACTCATAAGATGAGAATAGTAATAGAATCCACCTCGTAGATTTAATGAAAGGAAAAATATGATAACTGAGTTAATATACATAAAGGTTTTAGTATAGTATTTGGAATATAAGAATTCAGTAATTTCAGGTGATTATATATTATTCACCAATAAATCTCCCAAAAATAATTTATAATCCTTACTCTTTACTTTCTCATTCCTTCTTTAACAAATATCTCTTTTTTCCTTCATAGCGTAAGTACATTCTCCTAACCATCAAATCCAGTGGCTTTTACTCAGTCCTTTCTTTCTGCGCCCATTAATAGCATTGCATATCTTTAACTCTTGTAATGGTTTCCCCTGTTTGATTTCTCTTCCATCACTTTTCCTGTCATCATCTGTCTCCTTTTGCTCCCTTTACTGTCCTCTTGAGCTCTCCTTTACTATTTTCTTTCTTCTATCCCCTAATTTTTGTTCTTCATTCTGTCCTTCGTCGTCCTCTTTTTCTCCATTCTCTTCCTTGGTAATGACAACCCGCTTTTACTATCCCCTGCTTCCAGAGCCTTTCTCCTGAGCCCAACTTCCTCATATACATTATGGGGTCTCTTAACGCCACCAAAGGGAGTATGGACACAACTAAACTCTATTTCCATCCAAGCCAGGTCTTATTCTGGACGTTTTTATGTCTATTAATGGTAGAACCGTATTCACAATCTCAAACATCTGACTTTTCCTTTGTCCCTTACATCTTAAACCATTGGAAGTCCAGAATATTCCCAAGATGATTAACCTTTGCAGAACTACATGTAGCTTTGATTGACTGTTGCTAAATTGTTGCTGTCCATGTTAACATTTCTTTAAATTTTCTTATAAGTTTGTTATTCCATTTTTTTTTAAGGGAAACTTTACGATCCTTTCCCACCCATTTAACAGACTCCTGATCTGCCCCTCCGGGCCTTTTGTGTTGTTCACCTCACTGGCCTCTCCAGCTTTATCATCTATTGCCCGTTATTTATCCCTCCACGCACTTGTTCCCCATTCAAACCAATCTCCTACAGAAGCATCCATGCCTTTGCTTATGCTTTCTTCATCTAAAATGAATAGATATATTTTAAACACTTTTACTAATGTGTCAGACATATAGCATTTTAAAATAATAGCTTTCCTGATATGAAATTTTAATTTAAAAAATTTTTAATTCGCATCTTCCTTTTAAAAAATCAGTTTAGATATTCATAAGGTAACAAACTATGATCTTAGTAAACTAATTTAATTTTTAAATAAATATGTTACTTTTACAAGAATGTGAAGTGTCACTAAGAAGCTTTAGGGATCCAATCTGCCATCATTACTATTTCTCTGATTTAAATGTAATTATTGTCTTAATGAGACCTTTCAAATATTTTTCTTATGTAGATTTCCAGAATTCTTTTAGTATTGAGCATACAGATCTAATATGAAATAAGTAATGTTATACTCTGACATAATGGCACATATCAAACATATAGTACTCATATGATAAACTTTTCTCCTGATCAAATGTTGCTGTTTTCTTCCTTGCCTTTTATAACTGTACTAAAGGCCTGGTGCATGATATTTGTGTGCGCAAGGGGGTGGGAGGGGTCCCCTCAGTCCAGCTGACACCCTCTCCCATCCGGGACCCCTCTGGGGATGTCAACTGCCAGTTTAAGCCTGATCCCAGGGATCGGGCCTAAACCCGTAGTTGGACATCCCTCCCATAATCCAGGACTGCTGGCTCCTAACTGCTCGCCTGCCTGCCTTCCCGGTCGCCCCTTACTGCCCCCCTCTGCCAGCCTGGTCACCCCCAACTGCCCCCTTCTGCTGGCCTGGTTGCCCCTAACTGCCCCCCCCCACTGGCCTGGTCACCCCTAACTGCCCCCAATCGCCTGATCGCCCCTCACTGTCTCCCATCCCCCGCTAACCTGGTCATCCCCAACTGCCCTCCCACTGGCCTTGTTACCCCCCCAGCTGTCCCTAGTGCGGGCCATCCTGGTCTCTCCCCATTAGCCTGGTCGCCCCCAGATGCTCCCCTCCTGGTCTGATTGCCCCGCGCAGCCTGCTATTTAGCCATTTGGTTGTCCTCATTAACCGCCCTGGTCTCTCCGTGCAGCCTGTTTGGTCATCCACCCGGTTTCATTCGTGGCAGCCCCTGGCTTTTTATATATTAGGAGTTTAAAGTGTGTATTATATATTGTATTTTGTATAGGTTTGGTTTTGTTTTTTAATTCTCACAGAGAGTGACTCGGGAGATTGAACTTCTAATTTTTCTTCTTTTTTTCTTTTCCAGGGCTTTTTTCTCACCGTCTCACCGGAGTCGGTGATAAAAGTGGCTCAGCATGCTTCTGCCAGCAACAGAATTTTCACTTTGAACCTATCTGCACCATTTATTAGTCAATTCTACAAGGAAGCATTGATGAAAGTTATGCCTTATGTTGACATACTTTTTGGAAATGAGACAGTGAGTTACTCTTTTTTCTTTTTTTAAGTGCCTGTGTTTTTGGTTTCTGATTTATGCATAAGTTTAGAAGTTATATAAATAAAAACCAAAACATTTACATACATATATTTGAAAATTATACAATAGAACTGCCTAATTTTGTTACACTAATTCAGGATTTTCAGTATTCCTTTCAGTATATGTTAATTTTTTAAATAGTAAAAAAGTTGTTTTTAAAGGGGTAGGTTATTGATGTTTATAACTTACATATAGTAAAATTCACTCTTTTTACCGTACATTTCTATGAGCTTTTGCAAATACACAAAAACCTGACATGTACCCATGACCACAGTCAAGATAAAAACCACTTTCATCACTACCCCCCCCTTTAGTCAACCCCATCCTGAGCCCTTGACATAAACTAATTTGTTTTCTGACCAGTAAAATAATGTTTTCCTCTGAAATTTTCATGGATTAAGGTAAGAGACATCTACTTTAAAATAAATGTCTCATGAAGTTAAGTATTAGCTCTTCAAAGTGTGAATCTAAATAAGTTATGAGTAAATGTTTGTATGTTATAATTTGTATTAAATCTCTTTATTACTATTATTTTTGCTAATATTTGTATGTTATATTTGATGGTGATGAATGGATTTGTATTTGAACTTTTGCAGCCTTTTATTTTACCAAGAATATACTTTAATTCTAAATGAGTGAAAAATAATACATTTTTTTTTTAATTTTTTGCTCATTTATATATAGAGCTTTTGTCTAATTTGTATACTTTTAAAATCTAAAAAATACAGCAGGGCGGTGAGGGCATGAGTGGAGGGTTGGTGGGAAATAATGGGGGGATGAGGACAAATATGTAATACCTTAATCAATGAAGCAATTTAAAAATAAATAAATTAAATTAATAAATAAATATCCAAGAAATAACAGAAAAAGAGAACCTTTGGGTATCTTCATGTGACCTGGGCAGTATTACTTAAATGTCATGAATCTTGGGGTCTTCATATGTGAAGTAAATGTGTTCGATTAATTATACCAGAAGTCTATTTTGATTCTAATTCCATGGTTCTAACATAGTTTGGTTATATTCACTGATTTTGTATCTAGATGAGATAACTGTGTTGTCTTCCTAGAATAACATCAAATTTAATTCTACAAACCAGGAAAGTTAAAGTTTGACTGGAACTTAGTATAGATATGTTAGAACTCATTTTTTCCTACCCAGAAGAGAAAGTGGTAAAATTATAAGCTGCTGTGTGGCTACCAGTCATGTATGTTTAATTTTGTTGTGATTAGTATTCATATGAATTCATTTCAACAGATACATAGTGCTTATTTTGGCAGACCAATAAACAGTGGGTGTATAATATATTTAAGACAGTCTGTCATAATATGGATTATAGAATAATAAATATTGGATATAGGGCAATTAGATATATTTGGTATTTTGTTGAACCAGTTTAAGGAAGCCTGCTGATAAATAGATTTTTAATAATATGCCTCAAGGTTTACCCAGAGCTTTCATTTGGATAAAGTTGTATTTACAGATAGTGCAGATTCAGAGAATGCAAATAATGTACCACTTTAACAAATATCAGGTAGGTTAAATGTCAAAATGAGACTTAACATTTTTAATAGACTGGAAATATCTGTAGAGTGATGAAATTTAATAAATTTATTTAGAAATAAAAATGTTACTATATTTTATTATAAAAAGCAAGTATAGTATTGTGAACTTTAAGCTCATCTCTAGTCATTCTTCTCCTTGAATACTTTAGTAATAATGAACTATCCTCAGTTCTCCTGGGAAAAAAGGAACATTTTATTTCTAAAATGCAATGAAGTGCAAAGTCTATTTATCCGGGGTACATGCAGGATTGTTTTGTCTTTCTCACCTCTCCCCAATCCGCCCTCTTTCCCAATCAGAGAGTGGAAGTGAGAGGGATGGGGGCAGTGAGAAACATGTATGTGAGAGAGACACATCATTTGGTTGCTTACCACACTCACCCCAACGAGGACCAAGGATCAAACCTGTAACCCAGGTATGTGCCCTTGACAGGAATCAAATCTGCGACCCTTTGGTGCAAGTGCTGATGTACTGTCCACTGAGCCACACTGTCGAGGGTGGCTTATTTTCTACCTGTTGCCACCTTCCTTTTTTTAGAAGGTCATAAATTAGTAATGATATTTTAAAACTCTTTTGATAACCTTAATAATTTAAAAAATGCCTTGTCCACCAAGGTTCTCTTTACAGCTAATGAAGGACAGGTAATGTGAGACAAGAAATAAATGGGGTGAGCACTATGATTACCCTATCTTACTGCTCAGAGTGAATCTCCAGGCCATACCACATAGGGGGAGCCTTCTTGGTATCTCCTTGGAATTGAGGACTTAACTGGCAGTTTAAAAAATCTAACAGCTAAACAGACAGATTTGGAATCAGATAGAAGAGAGAGAGACAGAGAGAGAGAGAGAGAGAGAGAGAGAGAGAGAGAGAGAGAGAGAGAGAGAGAGAGAGAGAGAGAGAGAGAGATAACACCAGTTCTATATGAGTTATCCCACAAAATTGAAGAGGAAAAAACACTGCCCAAAACAAAGAATTAAAAGAGAACTACCTTAGCAGGTGTTGATCAGTGGTTAGAGCATCAGCCCATGGTTCCCAGGGTCAAGGGTACATACCTGTGTTGCAGGTTCAATTCTTAGCCTCAGTAGGGGCTGTGCAGGAGCTAATTAATCAATCTCTCTCTCTCTCCCTCCCTCCCTCCCTCCCTCCCTCCCTCCCTCCCTCCCTCCCTCCCTCCCTCCCTCCCTCTCCCCCTCCCTTCCACTCTGTAAAAATCAATGGAAAAAAATATTCTTGGGTAGGATTAACAAACACACATAAAAACAAACAAACAAAAAAAAAAAACTACTGACCCATAATCAATACAGATGCAAAAATTCTTAAGATAGTTTTAGCAAATCGAGTCCAACAACATATAAAAAGAATAATTCATCATGACCAGAAAAGCAGGGTTGGTTAAACACTTAAAAACCAATTATTATAATTATTCTTAGTAAAACTAAAAAAGAAAAAACATGCTTAGCTTAATAGACACAGAAAAAATATCTAACAAAATCCAATATCTATTCAGGGTGATGAAAGCCCTCAGAATACTAAGAATAGAAGAGAACTTATTTAACCCTATAAAAAAAAAATCCACAAAAATTGTACAGCTAACATTTTACTGAATGATGAAAGACTGAATAGTTTTCTCTAAGATCAGGAACAAAGCAAGGATGTTCACTTTGTTTTCTTCAGCATTGTATAGTGCTCATAAGGTATGAAAAACATTCAGTTTAGGAAAGAAGTAAAAATTTATCAAAATACCATGATAGTCCGTAAAAAATTCTATGGAATCTACAAAAAGCTATTAGAACCAAAAGTGATTTTAGCAAGATTGTGGAACACAAGAAAAATATACAAAAACCAATTATTTTTCTGTAAGCAACAAACACTCCGAAATGGAAATTTAAAAATACTATTTGTGATACCATCATAATAAACGCCATACTTTGAAAGTAATGGATGCTTTCCTTACCTTGATTGTGGCATGGTTTCAGGACTTTATACATGTGTCATAACTTAATCTAATTAGCCCAGCCAGCATGGCTTAGTGGTTCAATTCCATGTCAGGGCACATGCCTGTGTTGCAGGCTCAATCCCCAATAGGGGCGTGCAGGAGGCAGGCAATCAATGATTCTTCATCATTGATGTTTCTATCTCTCTCGCCCTCTCCCTTTTTCTTTGAAATCAATAAAAATATATATTTTTAAAGGCTTATCTAATAATATATTTGTAATTTGAGCAGATATATGTCGATTACATCACATAAAGCTATTTTAAGTATATATATATACTGTGTGATTATATTTATATAGATTTAAAATATGAAAAATTAATCTAGAGTAGTTCTAATAAAAACTTTCAAAGAACCAGTGCTAGAATGAAGAAGTACCAACTTCCTAAAGTTATAAAGGGTGTCCACAAAAACTGTTATGTAATCTGCACAGCAATTCTGTGGCTGGTTTTCTAAGGCATGTGAAGGTTCAGTTTGACTCAGAGAAAGTACTCAGTCTTTGTTAGGTGGTGTTGGTAGTGCTATAGGAGTGTTGACTCCTCTCTCAACTAAGTTCCACTTAATTAACTTGCTTAGATAACATGCAGTCCCCTTTTGCTTGATAAATATAACAGGTGGAGCCAACTGAGTGAAGGAAGACTCGTTGCTAATAGGTTATTCTCTGGTATATACCACCTTACTTTTCTTCCTACAAAATTGTTTATCAAGAGTCCATTTATTTGTTCCTAAGCCTTTTTATGCAATCTGTCTTCCTTATGTAATTATTTAAGTATTATGTAATCTGATAAAACGTGAGTACAAATAGAATGAAAATTAGTTTAGAAAATTAAGTTTGGGAACAAAACTCAATAAATTCATATTGCTTTTTTTTAAAGTTGCTCTTGAATTAGTTGTGAGTATAAAAAGTAAAAAAGATTAAAGGAAGAAAAAAAGCTATAGCTGTCTACACTCATGGAGAGCTTCTTGTCTTTAAGTTTTTATTCTACTGAAACTGGAATTCATAAACTATGAATTATGAATTTGGTTCTACAAGAAAGACACACACTAAAGTCTTGAACTTGCTTTAAATTATAGCAGATGATATATCTTTACATATTAATAAATGTTTAGTTATTTTCCCTTAATTTAATCAGTTTGTTGATTTATTAGCCTGTTATTCTTCCTTCAGTTTCCTCATATGTAAAGTGAGGGATTTGTGTAAAAATACTAGATCTTTCAGTTTTTTTCTTATAGTTTAAAAACAAAAATTCATTTTATCACTTATTATTCAGTAAAACTAACTAATTTTATTATAAATCAACAGTCCTTGTTCTGAATCCTAAAATAATGCACGGCTTAACATATTAATTTTAGATATTTTTTCATTGTTAGTGTTAGACTGTAGTACCT